TGTTGAGCATGACAACTTGATCTGGATCAAATCTTAACTTTTTCCCGCACATATTGAAAATCATTCGATCAATATCCCAACATTTTAATATGTGCATGGTTTGGATATGATCTTAAGGGTACAGAGGGAGTTCAAAAAATTGAACCATAGTCATCGCTTTCAAATTATTTCATGTCTCCTCAGAAATGGTAGACTGAACCTTATCAAGAACATCTCTAACTGCTGATGGACGACATCTCTAATTCATGGCCTTTTGGTTCAAAAACCTAAATGAATAGAAACGTATTAGAAGCATAATGACACCATATTAACATTATAGAGACATAATGACACCATATTATCACCAGAATCATAATAACACCATATTAATGCCAAAAGAACACAATAGAAAAAGAAATAACACATATAAAACAATGGAACAACGCCCCATAAACCCTAAAAATAACACCATAATTTTGGGGTTTATTTTGGAGTTATTTTTGGAGTTATTTTGACAAAAAAAAACCCAATATCCCCTCAATAACTAAAACTATGGTTATTTTAGAATATTATTTTAGCCATTGTATGATGTTATAGAGATTTTATTAAGGACTAAGAAATAACAAACAAAGTTACCTTGATACGTTTTGCTGGCTCTTATCCGATCCATTCTCCTTCTTACGATCCTTCTTCACTACTTTCTTTTGCTTTTCCAACCCCGCCTCATCCGCACGTTCGTGTCTTCCATTTTAATCTTGCTTCAAAGGACACAATGCAAAGCCCTATCAGAAAATGAAGCCTATCAGAAAATGAAGGACTGAAGGACGAATAGGAAAACCCTAGCTCACCAGCCAATGCGAAACCCTAGCCCTTTCTTTCAAAAATGAATGTCTGAGAATCAAAACGACGCCTTTTAAGTTGTTATGATAGGCATGACAGGCTTTTCAAATGTTAAAATTTTAATAAAAAAAACTTCCCAATAACCCTCCAACCCCACGAGAACCAGTCCAACAAGCCTCGCAGAACCACTTAAATAATCCTCCACTAACCCTTGAATAAACACAAAATAACACTCCAATAACCCCGACAGAATCACCACAATAACCCACACAATAACCTTCAATAATGCCTCAATAACCCCGGCAGAACCACCGCAATATCCCTCAAATTACCCCTCAATAACCCCCTAATAATCCCTGCAAAACCATCACAATAACCCCCAAATAACCCTTTATTTTAATGATGCAGACATTGATTTGTTCAATGAGGAATTCACATATCGTAGCAGACCAATTAAATAAAAAAAAATTATGGACATTCTCACAGATCGAGTAAAAGCCTTTGGCCACGCTAAATTTGCTTGAAGGAAAAAATAAATTTAACAACAAAAACTTTAGAAATAGATTATCAAATGGAATAGAAGTCTCCCATAGTGTAACATTCAATAGGTCACTTTTTATTTGTCCAACATCCACGACACAAGAGGGAACATTTAGCTGTTGAGCATGACAACTTGATCTTGATCAAATCTTAACTTTTTCCCGCACATATTGAAAATCATTCGATCAATATCCCAACATTTTAATATGTGCATGGTTTGGATATGATCTTAAGGGTACAGAGGGAGTTCAAAAAATTGAACCATAGTCATCGCTTTCAAATTATTTCATGTCTCCTCAGAAATGGTAGACTGAACCTTATCAAGAACATCTCTAACTGCTGATGGACGACATCT